ATGTTGCTCTGTGGCTATCTAATTTGCTTTGATGGCATTAATCAGTGTTTCACAGCAGGCCACGGTGAAGCAGAAAAGGACAAAATGAACCCGAACATTAGTCAGTGAGGAAAATGATGAATTACCTGTTCACCCATAAAGTCACTGAGTGGGAAGATTAGAGGAAGAACCAAGTGCTCATTTGGATCATACTCACTGTGTTAGCATCAAAATAAAACTCACAAAGTGACATAAAAATGAACTTTTTCAAACAGTAAATTATCAAGCACGTTACATCAAACCATGTTATTTTTTAGACACGTGTTTGTCTGACTGGAACCAACATATCTTATGAACCAATGGATTAATCAATGGATAAATCATGAATCATCCCTCAAAATGGGTTTCAAACTGGGGAGCTTTTGCAGGGCACAAATTGTCATCTACTTTATTTATTTAATTAGTATTTAACCAGGAGGTCCCAGTACGATTAAAAACCTCTTTTTCAAAAAAGACCTGGCCAAGAGCAGCCGCAAATACAAAACATAGTTCCCACATCACTGTAAGACACCTGAATTAAAACATCAAATAGGGAAACATAAAAAAATAAAATGAAAATAAAATAAACGATTAAATTAAGAACAACAGGGTCAAGTTGTGGAGTTAGCCTCAAGTCTTTTCAGTTGTGATTTATTAGCACTCAGTGAAATTAACTGCAGTTAGTTTCCAGTCTTTCTTTAGTATATACTTGCTTCAAGTAGGGAGATCTCTTGTGAACATTTTGTGTAAAGGGATGCCAATAATCAGTTAAAATAATCTAGTCACAAATTTAATCCTGTGACTTCAAAATTATCGTTAACATATCTTATGCTACTTGCTTGTAAAAATGGGAAAAAAGCTGGTCACTGAAGCAGAAAGCTGCATCCATTAGGTGATTTGTTTAAAGAGAAAACACTGAAAAACATCAGATATGTGATATCAATGCATTGGATGCAAACTGTTTACGAGAGCAGTGTGACAAGGTTTGTAACTGAAGTGTGTGCGGGACCCTCTAACAAGTGATTATACCCAACACCCCTCCTTTCTTTCCCTCTTCTCCCCCCTCAGGGTATGGGGACAAAAGAGCAGTAGGCTGGCAGTGCCTTGCATGTGTGTTTATGTGGATATACATCCATGTGTGTGTGAGTGTGTGTGTGTGAGAGTTTGCACCCTGCCTGTTTCAGCATATTGTGCCCTGAAACACAAAAAGATGATTAGTGGGATTTTTTTCTCCTTTTTTTTTTGTTGGCTGAACAGCATGCCTTTAAGACTGAGACAGCTGGTAAAGGATGTTCGAGATGAAACGGTCCTGGGGTCTCCTCGCAGCAATTCCACTTGAAGAAAACAGAAAATAAAACGTGTTTCTGGCTAACAGAGAGGTGCATGGCTCAATTCAGGCGCTGTGTTGCATATTACTGTAAAGTCAGCTTTTCTAAGTAGCTGAGTGCTTTTTTTCACCCCCCTTTTTTTGCTGTGACAGGTAGGTACGACTAAACACAGCTCCATTTGCTGCATCTATTCCAGCACAGATACATTTAAATATATATAATACACTCGCTCTGTGCACTTATGCACTAAGATATCCCTTTTGCCCAAAGGTTAAACAAATATATTGACTTTAATCAAACTAAACACAGAAAGCCTGGCTCATATTAAAACAAGGGGCAACACTGCATTCTCTCAAAGCTCATATAAATCCAACCAACAGTATCTATTTATTCCTTTATGCAATATGCCTTTAATAAACATAGTGTCAGAGGGAAACCAAATCATCCACGGCTGAGAGCATGTAAGAAAATCAATTAAAATGAAGTCACAGAGCTGGCTGCCCAATTGTCTGTGGCAGTTATTTGATATAATATAGTTAATACTACTGGCTGGGTAAATTAACACAATTTTGCCATCGTATACTATTTGTGTGCCTGTTTGTGTGTGTGTGTGTGTGTGTGTGTGTGTGTGTGTGTGTGTGTGTGTAAGTGTGGATAAAAGGGGGAGGTTTGAAGAAGGGCACTTGACTCCCCCGAGGGACCTAGAGAATAAAATAACACTTGAAGTAAACAATAGCAGTGCTTGACCAGAGAGGACCTCGAATACTGACAAAATCTGCTGAACCATTATTGAAGCACTAAAGGTTTTATTTTTCTATTGTTAATCATATGCAAATTAATTAAACACAAAGAGCCACAATAATTCTGGTAAATTAGACAATTAACTGTTTTGAACGAGTGGTGGGTGGAGAAGACATCAGACAGTGATCCAACAGGAAACCCTTTAAACAAAATGTGCTGTCATAGGAGCAACATTCAATGTTTGAATGTAAAGAGTGGATAAAGTAATACATTTCAAACAGTCTCACAGATGTGTGTGCATGTCTCATCAAACATGATGTTATTTATCTTTTTATTGTGCACATTGTCACTACAAGACTGCTATATAAAGTAGGATCTTTAAAAAATTTGGTCAGGTTTGACAGGCAGAAAATTTCAAACTCTGGAGGAAGTTTTTGTGGATGAGTTATTGTCACCTGTTCAACTCAATACTTGGGTTTTGTAAAACATTTGAAACATTTTGTGTTATTAGTCATTTATATATTCATATATATATTCATATATATACACTGTATATATATATATATATATATATATATATATGTATATATATATATATATATATATATATATATATATCCTGTATATAATTTTATTTTTAAATTCTGACTTAAATTTCAGAATTCTGACTTTAATTTTCAGAATTCTGAGATTAAAGCCAGAATTCAGCCAGACTTTGATCTCAGTGTTCTGAGAAAAAGTTCAGAACTCAGAAACAAACAAAAATATATAGATTTTTTCCCTGTGGTCCAAATCTATTTCCATAGAGAAACATGGCAGGCAATCAAACCATCTAAAAATACTCCAGATATTAACATGTATATATAAATATGTAAGAAAATCTCCTTACAGATGACTAGCATACATTTTAATTAAACATGCTTGCCATTGTTTCCATCTGTATCCATGATTGTTATGATTCATTTTCTAAATGTTTGCTTAGTTTCTGTATAAATGATGAAGACAGCCATTTTTGTGTTTGGTAAGGTTAATTAGCCATGGGCATCCATCTGGTTAGGTTGACTCCAAAATATAATTAGTTGTAGATGTCTACCTTGTTTTTTCTAGGAGTTTCATTACACTTCATCCAGTGGTTCATCAGAAACATTGTTAAAAGAGAGACAAACACACATACAAAGGGCATTTCTTTGTGACAAGTCATAATCATCCCGTTTGCTCTTCAGATTATATTTTTATTATAATTACTAGAAACAACTTTACAAAAATTGTAAGAAACAACATATCTTAATCTTGTAAAATAATTTGAAAATTATTCATAACAACTATGTTAGTTGTGAAAAATAAGTTAATTACCAGTTTCAGTAAAGCATTTTCTCTCTTTTCCATGCACTACATTATTTTATAATTTAGTCGTATTAACTCTCCATGCTCTGTGTGCTCTTTCTCTCATCTGAAGCACGTGGCTGGTCATTGTTGGTGGTGCACTGCTCTGTGATGCATGGACTTCAGCGGATCGTTTGTACGGTGTCACAGAGCGATTGATTCTGGTGGTGGTGATGGCGGTGCGGCGGTGAAGGGGGGTGGTCAGGCCCCCCGCAGTCTGCAGGGAGAAGGAGTGGGAGCCAGGCGCTGAGCTGGAGGGCGGTACTGAGGGTCACAACACATTGTTTCCCCCTCTCAATCCGTCTGGAACCTGTCACACACTCGTAATGGATGGCAAACGAAGGACGGTGAAGAAAGGAAAGAGGGGGAGGAAGTGGAGAGAAAGAGCAGTTAGAGATTCTTTTAGATTTGAAAGTGACAAATGAAAAATCAATCAGCTCCTAAATCTTTTTTTATATTATTTCAACTTTTTACAATCTTTTAGGTTTTATCCAAATTTGTTTGAATCAAACTCCTTTACACGTTTTAATGTTCCACTGAACTACATGTGATTTAAGTGAAATTAAAATAAATATAGTTAAAAATACATGCATGAATGGTTTACTGGAGTCACCCAGACAAAAGCATCATAAAGGTTTTTTTTAAATTGAAGTTTTTCAATAATTTAAGTTTTGCGTTTAGACAAAAATGGCATTTTTGAAGTCCCCCAAAAATATATATATGCATATTTAAAAACTGTGTGAAAAAAAATCTCAGAACGCTACCCTTATGTTGTAGAATATCAATTTTATTCTCTTGCCTCTTATGGTAAATGGTTTGTACTTACATAGCACCTTTCTAAAGCACTTTAAAACATCACAATCTGGGCCCTCATTTACCCAATCACACAGCACTTTACAAAGTCTCTCGACAAAGTGAATCTATATAAATAACTCAATGGAGATTAGTCTGTGCTTAAATCACACTCATACATTCATAGAACACACATCAGAAGCAGTGAGGGTTCAGTGTCTTGCCCCAGGGACACTTCAACATGTGACTGAACAGGGGGAGAGTCGAACCCACAACTCTGTCATTGGAGGACGACTCCCCTAACCACTCAGCCGCAGCTACTAAACATTAGCACCCTCTGCTTTGTCTTGAGTTCATGGTGTACATTTGTTTTCAGTGACAAGCCGAGACGGAAGCTCCACCTTGGCAGCTTTTGCTCCACAGACACAAACACGCCCACAGGTGTGTGTTTGAAACTAATGTTTCCCCACCAGAGAGGGTGCACTTCCAAGCCTGAAACATCCTGAAGTATGAAATGACTGGTAGCATGCGGATTAGATTCTTCATGCATTCTAAGCTCAAAAAAAGTGGGTCTCATTAAACTTGAAGCACAATACATATGAATAAATATACTGAATCTCAAAAATTTATCCAACATAATGCACACAAATATTTGCATAGTTACATGGCTGTTTGATTAAGAAAACAGTGACAAACTAAAAAAAAAATGGTTTCAGTAAAAAGTAAAAAGGTTTACTATTAATGTAGCAATCTTTTTTTAACTGTATGGCATTTCAGAGAAATACTTTCTAAGCCTGAAAAACATATGTATTATACAAAATATACACTCACCGGCCACTTTATTAGATACACCACGCTAGTAACGGGTTGGACCCCCTTTTGCCTTCAGAACTGCCTCAATTCTTCGTGGCATAGATTCAACAAGGTGCTGGAAGCATTCCTCAGAGATTTTGGTCCATATTGACATGATGGCATCACACAGTTGCCGCAGATTTGTCGGCTGCACATCCATGATGCGAATCTCCCGTTCCACCACATCCCAAAGATGCTCTATTGGATTGAGATCTGGTGACTGTGGAGGCCATTTGAGTACAGTGAACTCATTGTCATGTTCAAACCAGTCTGAGATGATTCCAGCTTTATGACATGGCGCATTATCCTGCTGAAAGTAGCCATCAGATGTTGGGTACATTGTGGTCATAAAGGGATGGACATGGTCAGCAACAATACTCAGGTAGGCTGTGGCGTTGCAACGATGCTCAATTGGTACCAAGGGGCCCAAAGAGTGCCAAGAAAAGATTCCCCACACCATGACACCACCACCACCAGCCTGAACCGTTGATACAAGGCAGGATGGATCCATGCTTTCATGTTGTTGATGCCAAATTCTGACCCTACCATCCGAATGTCGCAGCAGAAATCGAGACTCATCAGACCAGGCAACGTTTTTCCAATCTTCTCTTGTCCAATTTCGATGAGTTTGTGCAAATTGTAGCCTCAGTTTCCTGTTCTTAGCTGAAAGGAGTGGCACCCGGTGTGGTCTTCTGCTGCTGAAGCCCATCTGCCTCAAAGTTCGACGTACTGTGCGTTCAGAGATGCTCTTCTGCCTACCTCGGTTGTAACGGGTGGTTATTTGAGTCACTGTTGCCTTTCTATCAGCTCGAACCAGTMTGCCCATTCTCCTCTGACCTCTGGCATCAACAAGGCATTTCCGGCCACAGGACTGCCGCTCACTGGATGTTTTTTCTTTTTCGGACCATTCTCTGTAAACCCTATAGATGGTTGTGCGTGAAAATCCCAGTAGATCAGTTTCTGAAATACTCAGATCAGCCCTTCTGGCACCAACAACCATGCCACGTTCAAAGGCACTCAAATCACCTTTCTTCCCCATACTGATGCTCGGTTTGAACTGCAGGAGATTGTCTTGACYATGTCTACATGCCTAAATGCACTGAGTTGCCGCCATGTGATTGGCTGATTAGAAATTAAGTGTTAACGAGCAGTTGGACAGGTGTACCTAATAAAGTGGCCGGTGAGTGTATATTCTTGTTTGGGTGTCATTTCCATGCTCTGACTGATGTCCCAGCTGATAAGGTGCTACCTTTTGCTAACTATTTGCCAAAATGTCACATCTAAAATGACCAGACTACCCCTTTAATACAACAGTTCAGTCTTTCTCCTGCAGACTGGATAGTGATGATAGTTATGTACCTGCTGACAGATCTGAGTGTCCTGGGAGAATAGCATGTCTCATCAGCTGTCCCAGAACGAAGACACAGAGCAGGACGCTGGATGACAGAATGTCCCTTGGTGTGTGTATGTGTGTGTGATAATGTGTGGCGCAACCTTGGCACTCTGCACCTTACATGTGTAGCACATTGCACAGCCAGTGACTATGTTTAATATGCAAATCAGAGCAGCTACGTGAGGCCAACTGCTGCCTGCAATCTCCTCTTCTCCAAAACAAAATCCCATCAGCACAGGGATTAATTAGGATGGTTCAGAGAAAAATGACATATATCGCTGAGTAACTTTTAAGTTAGCTTAATCTATTCTGATTTATTTATACAATGTAGATTAACAATAAATACAGACTCAAAACAATGAACAATTTAGAGGGCCAAGTCACATTCAGATTGATATCAGTTTAATCCATTGAGTCCAATTCATTCCATTTATAATCCATGTCACTTCAGTTCAGCCATCCCTGACAGACTCCCCACACAAACAGATTGTGTCAGATCTTTGTTTAAATCTTTAAGGTTGTGTGCTTTGTTTCAATAATTTCTAAAATGTCAAGAACTTGAAGAAGGAGAAAAAAGCATCTTCCTTGGTTGAGATGGGAGTTGAGGGGTGGGGTGGTGGGAGGGCGGGGGGTCAAAGAAGGGACACAATAAACCCAAAGCCAGAAATACTTTTATCAGAAAAGAAGAAGGAAAAAAAAGAACAGTTGATTATTTAATTTCAGTATTTTAATGTGTAAGAAAAGTAGGGCAAGAATTACAGTTTATGTGCATTACATTGGAATTTAATGCTGGCTTTAAGGATTTTAAATAACAAAGCTTTGCAATGATGTATCAAAAGACAGCCATGGGAGATTAAAAAAGGCAACAAACATTCACACAGGAATTATATATTTTTGTAAAAGAAAAAATATATATTTGACAAAACAGTTTTGTGAATCAGGCTTAGAAGAAATAACAACAATCAAAAGATCAGAGGGAGAAAAGTTCAGTTAACAGATGAATCTGTTACCGCCAGCTAAAAATGGCTGATATATAGAGTTTAGCATCATATGTCAAAGGACAAAATACTGGATTTAACATTTACACTAATAGAGCCAAAGTTATCCCTGAGATATCGGAGAGGGGACATGGGTAACTCCAGACAAAATATAAAAGGAATAAGCAATCTAATATAACAATATTTAAAATGTATTATTATCACTCAACTAAATTGTTTTTTCTCCATTCAATATTTTTTTTACTTTAGTTAACAAAGGTTAAACATTGAAGGACAAAATTTTAATATTTTTCTAAAACTGTACTGAACTGGATTTCTTAACATGCTGTCATTTTTACGTACTCATACGGTACTAAGAAAACATAACAGCAAACAGGAACTTATATATTTTTGGATCAATGCTATAAATTTTACTTCTAGACTCCTATGTTTAAAGTATGTCTCATAAAATATGTGAAAATTATTATAATTATTGCAGTGGCTCTCTCTCTCTCTCTCTCTCTCTCTCTCTCTCTCTCTCTCTCTCTCTCTCTCTCTCTCAGCCCTTTTCATTGTTTTCTGGGTGTTTCAGAGGTGGATAAGGGAACACATGAAACAAAGGCAATGAGGCTTAATTAAGACACTTTAGCGAGTGATCACTGTGGGCAGATGGCTTTCTGTGGCGGATCCAAGCTCAACCACGGGACACTGTGAAGTTGAAAAGAACCGCCAAAGGGGGCACTGTGAGTGGGCCTCCCCTCTCACCCGACAGACGGGTGGAGGGTCAGTGGATGGGTGGGTAAAATGTGTGGCTAAAAGGGAAGATGAATGAAAAGGAGACTTAACTGATTCATTTGACTAAAAAGTACCTTTAATAAAAGAGCAGAATTGGCTGTAGAGGCTTAAAATATGAATATATTTGAAGCTGTTTTGTCTAAATTTCTGACCTCATGATGCCGTGGGATTTTCGGTTGAAAATGACATGCATGTCAGCCGTGTTCGCACTCAGTAACTGTCGCCACTGCTCTCTCTGAGCCCTGTAAGACAGCAGGCCTGTCTCATTCCTAGCTCAGCATGTTTGTCAATCCTCAGCTGGCCCTGTTCCAGCAGCAACACACGGATCAGAGGATTATGTAAGCTAGTGGGGCCTTGAGCTAAGTGTGCTGCGAGTCACTCAGAGGTGTGATTTGACAATCTACATGCCCAGCCATCACCCAGCCCTCAGTGCATGCAATAGATGTTAAGAATCAAGTATCCAGAGGGGCAGAGTAAACAGAAAAAAATATATAGCAAAATGGTACTTTGATCTGTTTACTTTAAACAGTCGTCCTCTGCTGTGTTGTTGTTTCATTTATGGACATTTTTAAAAAGGCAGCACTCAAAGGAAGATGAGCAGAAGCAGGTAAACAAATTAAATAATAATACTGATTAAGAATACATATTTTGATGGTTGATTGGCAGTATGGAACAGCATATTGCCACTGGATATACAGTATACTACATTATTTTAAATTATGTTGTTATTGCTTAGGTTAATAAAACAAATCCAAATCAATTTTAAAAAGTGACAAC